ACACCGTCCATCTTTGGCGTACCCATCCTGGATTCTTGGAGGACGCAACCCTTCCGTTAAGCGATTCTGATGTTTTCTCGCTGTTTTCTTTTCTTTTTAAGTACTATTTATCTCTAAATGATGTAAGCGATAGCAATTGCTCACTCTCTCGCGTTTTTGCGATCGCAAGTCCGAGATGGGGACGCCAAAGATGGACGTGTGTGCGGGTGCACACATGATCATATGAAATGAATCGACTGTACTTGTACAGTGAGCACATAAAAGGTTTACAGTTTTACGGAAAATTGTTTGGCACGCAGTCGTTCGTCAACGCAACTATCGTCGATTCGTTGACCGTAGGGACTGCTGAAGCGCTGCGGACCACATGCGGCGCGGTTAACATGTTGCGAGAGCACGAACAATGGCGATCTTGTATTGGAGCAAGCGTTTTACCTCGCGGCGCGTGATCCGCGGTTATGTCCATCCAGTCCGTGCAGTCAACGAATCGACGATAGTCATTTACAGCTGTGATGTGGAACTAGTTTTTGTCTCTTTTTATAGTCAAGGCTTGATAAAGTCTCCCTACCTCCTAATGAAATTAGGGCTTTTCATACTTCCACTAATTGCTGTACCATATTTGTCTTGCGTCTCTCTGTCTAATGTCTGTCTTTGATGTATATCTATATATTTCCAACTACTCTCTCTTTTGCAGGCATTTCATGATGTTTGTAATCGTAGTCAATTACAGCTTCTCTTAGACGCTGCAGTCACCGACGAAGACGCACACAATTCCAGAGGAAGTGTTGCACAACATAAGGAAAATGGGTTTGGATCAGAACTGACGGCTGCCTGAACGATACTCAGGCGCGAATGGATTGTTGATTCGCATGAGAAACCCCTGCATTGCGCGCTAACACTGGCAGTTCCTCACTCATGTTTGTGAATATGTTTATCGCGGTGGAATGTGTATTGCTTTGTCGCCGCTCCCCATATGGATCGTTTTATCAATGTTTGTACCCTCAAGGTCTATTATCAGCATATTTCTGTTCTAAAGAACGTAAATCTATGCGTGTGTATCACTGCGTACTTGCGTACTCATCCACTTAACTGTTACTTGCCATTTCATTAGTTATAACCTTTATCCAGAGTTTACAAACGTGGCCGTACATAGTCGTAGTATACGATCTAAGCTAACCTTTAAGCTTTTGGGCTACCGACACATCCTATCTTTGAAGAAAGCGGGAAGCGGCAGTGAGGCGATAAGGCACGGAGCTTTTGGTGGGTTTTCGCGGTGCTTGGCTGCCGGCTGAAAATCTTGTCTGTGTAGCTTCTTGTTATGCTTGGACTACAACGTTGTAACTTCAATTAATTCATTATAACGATGGCAAGTAACAATGAAGAACATAACCATCTGGGGCCATATCTATTTCTCCATGTGGTCATATCTCCAGATGGTTATGTTCTTCATTGTTACTTGTCATCGTTATAATGAATTAATTGAAGTTACAACGTTGTAGTCCAAGCATAGCAAGAAGCTACACAGACAAGATTTTCAGCCGGCAGCCACAAAGCCACCGCGAAAACCCACCAAAAGCGCCGTGGCCTTATCGCCTCACTGCCGCTTCCCGCTGAGAACTGTAGAAGCGAGCGGGCTACAAATATGGCAATGAGCGGGAGGCTAAAGCTGGCAGCGGGCGGACTGCTATGAGGGCTTCAGCGGGAAGCGAAAGTGGCCGCGATGAGGCCACCGCGCTTTTGGTGGGTTTTCGCGGTGGCTTTGTGGCCGCCGGCTGAGAGCCTGTGATTGTCTGAGTGGGAATCGCCTAACGGAACGACTCACGCGGAGATCGACCACATTCTCGCCAACCGAAGGTGGAGCTTGCTCGATGTCTCAGTAGTTCCATCCTTCTGCAGTGGCTCCGATCACCGCCTCCTTCGAGCGAAGATACGACTCAGCCGAAGGCTGGAAAAGAAAGTCTGTCACAGTGCCGCGAGAAGGAAGGAAGTCGTTTACGACGGTAACAGGCTGGAGGAGCTCATATCAAGATGTGACTGGCCCATCGAGGAGGACCCAACGTACGACTACGACCGGCTTCTGAAAGGTTTGCGAGCCTGCGGAGAATGTGCCTCAGTGACTTCTGAGAAGAACTTGGAACGTATTTTGAAGACCACCAAGGAATTGCTCGAAAGAAGAAGATTTCTGAGACAGGATCCGAATGCAACCCATCTCGAGCGACTGATAGCCAACGCCAGTTGCAGAACAGCTTTGCAGGAGGATCTCAGGAAGTACAGGCAAGCCAAGATACTGGAAGCAGCCGAAGAAAGACGAAGTCTTAAGAAATGCCGAAGGGACCTCTGTGAATATCACGTACCGCTGGCTGCACTATTGAACGAAGACGGGACTCCGACTTCTTCCCGATACAAGATGGAATCTATCGCGAAGAACTTCTATACCAACCTCTTCCGCTCATCAACACCCGTGCCGATGCCCGTTGTTCCCACTGGAGAAGTACCACCACGAATTCTACCTGCTGAAGTGCGCACGGCGATTCAGACCATGAAGACATCCACGGCTCCAGGACCAGACCATCTTTCCGTCGAATTTCTGCGAGCCGGAGGACAACGTCTACACGAGATTCTCGCGTCGCACCTGACATCTTACCTTCAGAAGGAGAGGATTCCCGACCAGTGGAGAACGTCAAGAACCGTCCTTCTTTTAAGAAGGGTGAACGGGAAGATCTTCGAAATTACCGTCCAATATGCCTGCTGAGTGTGCTGTACAAGCTCTTCACGAAGATTATCCTCGCACGCATATCTAGGACACTGGATGAAGCCCAACCCCAAGAACAAGCTGGATTTCGCAAAGGATTCAGCTGCATGGACCACATCCAGACGGTTTCGAGGGTCATAGAAGTCTGCCGGGAGTACCGACTGCCTCTCGTCCTAACCTTCGTCGACTACGAGAAAGCCTTTGACAGCGTCGAAACCAACGCCATCCTGTCTGCGCTAGTCGATCAAGGAGTGGAACCAGCTTACGTGAGGACACTAGCCGACCGCTACAAGGACTGTACAACAACGCTGCAGCTATTCCATCGCCCCCTAACCATTCCAATTGGGAAGGGGGTTCGACAAGGCGACACTATTTCGCCGAAGCTGTTCACCGCGGCCTTGCAGTGGGTGATGAAGTCACTAGACTGGGAAGAGAGAGGCATACGAGTTGATGGGAGATTCCTATCCAACCTTCGTTTTGCGGATGACATCGTCCTTTTCTCGAGCAGTATCACTGAAGCAGAGGCGATGCTAAAGGAACTAAACGAAGTAGGGAAGAAGATCGGACTGCGAATAAATCGGAAGAAGACTCAGTTCATGAAGAACGCCCCTTGCGAAGATTCAGAAATGGAATTGGAAGGCACCCCTATCATGGAGACGTCTTCTTACGTGTATCTCGGACGTTCGATGAACATGGAGAACGACTTGAGGGAAGAACTTGACAGGAGAAGAAGAGCAGCCTGGGCCGCCTTCGGGCCTCTGAAGGAAGCCACCGACCAACTGACGGACCCGGAGCTTCGTGCCCACCTGTTCGACTCAACCGTTCTCCCAGCGCTCTGCTACGCAGCTGAGACTTGGGCCGACACCGTAGCCAGTCGAAAGCTTTAAGGACCACCCACAGAGCGCTCGAGCGCAGTCTTCTGAAGATGACCCGACACAAGCAACATCTAGTCGGACTTCGCAGCACGGATATGAGAAGAATGTCCCGTCTTCGTGACCCAGCGGAATACGTTGCGAAAGCGAAACACCGATGGGCCGGTCACATAATGAGAAGAACGGACGATAGATGGACACTAAGAACATCTGAGTGGATTCCTCGCGAAGCCAAACGTCCTCGAGGAAGACCACCGACGAGATGGGCAGACGTGTTCGTGGAACGGATGGACCAGCTGAGAAATCAGCTGGATACGATTCTTGCCCCTGGAACTCGTGGACGCAGCCACCGACGACGACCAAAAAGATCGTGGATGTCCGAAGCGAGGGACAGGAATCAATGGCGACTTCTGTACTGGGGCCCGCACGTCACGTGAGGACGGGCCATCTAAGTATCTAAGTATCACCACGGAAGGGAACCGCTACATCCTAACCGTAGTCGACCATTTCTCAAAATTCGCTGGGGCCTACGCTGTCCCATCCAAAGCTGCACCAGTGGTAGCGCGAGTGTTTTTTGAACGATGGGTGGCAGAGGGTGGACGCCAGCCCAAGTGTCTCCTCTCAGATCAGGGAGGGGAGTTCGAAAACAAGCTAATGGAAGAGCTACAGAAGCTGATGGGGTTCAACCAGATCTTCACGAAAGGGTATAATCCTCGTGAAAATGGCCTCACTGAAAGGTTTAATCAGACCATCATCTCGATGTTGAGGAAAAAGGTCTCCGTCGCAGTGGAATGGGATAAATTCCTACCTGCTTGTGTGTTTGCGTACAATACCACAGTGCATGAGTCCACTGGAGAGTCCCCATTTTTCCTTTTACACGGGTTTGACGCGCATGTTCCGTGGGATTTGGAACCTGAAGCCCGCAGATACGCGGTGGACATAGACAGCTATGCCCAAGAGGTGACTGTAGGGACGCAAATTGCGCGTGAGTATGCCCGCAGGGTAAACGACAAAATGCGGGAGCGTATGAAAGCCTCATATGACCGTGAAAAGGGAGTGGAAAGTTGCCCTGCACCCCCCAAGGTAGGCGACCGGGTCTACATGCGAATCCCCAGCGAGAAACAGTCCGCAAGCCATCCCAAACTAGCGAATCCCTGGGAAGGACCCTACCGGGTTGTAGAGGCCAGTGAAAATAGTGCCTTAATTACACTGATCAACCAAGATAAGGAAACAGTAAGAGTACCCTTTGACTTACTTAGGAAGCTACCCCGGGGTATCTCCGACGAGCCATTGCTAACGAGAAAAAGCAGGGGTAAAAGAGGGCGCCCTAAGAAAAATAAGACGCAAGAAGTCCGATGCAACAAAATCTCTCTTTTCAGGACCCTGCTGGCCTCCGACGACCGCTTGAATCTGAGATTTCGCTGCAGTTGTGGTCTATTCGGACAGATGGCGCATGTAGCGATACCTAATCTGAAACAGCCGTTAGCAAGGGCCAAGACAGTCAACGACATGTTTCAATTGGCCAATATCGCGAGCATTTCGGAACAAGAATGTTGGTCGGACGAAAGGAAAGAGCTAGAGCTCAGACGGAAACACTCGCAGTATCTCACGCCATACGGACTCGCTGTGGCGATAGACGCTCATCGACGTCGATGTCCTTTGTATGCCAAAAGAGTGGAGGAGGCGAAGGGAGTGAGGTACGACCACCCCGCAATATACCCGTGGCCATGCGAATACCCCATCGGGGACATCCTAGCGGAAGCCATCATGATGTTGGATCAGATCGAGATGCCGTTGTTGGACCATCACATGGATCGCCGCACATTCATTGCACTCCCACCTTCTTTCGCAAGATTGGATTCGGAAATCTCATACGAAGACAACGTTATGCCACACGTTTATCGGGACTTCGGAACGCTTGCCAACAAGCTGTTGACCGCCCGCGAGATTATGAAAGCCATAGTCATCGTATGGCCAGACAAGCTACCTGAAAGCAGGCAGATGAGGCAGCTGTTAATCAGCATCGAAAGACATCTCCAAGACGGTGGAACACTTGCGTTTGTCCCAAGCCTATGAGGATCGGAATGCCGGAGAATGGAGAAGAGTGGGCGAAGTGTGCCGCGAGTTCGTACGATTCTTGACGGACCCCTCCCGCAACTTCATGGCCGTGACTCGCGATCATTACTCTGGCGTCCTGGATTCCGCGCCGTATACACACCCAGCCTGTTGCCTTGGAGTCAACCCGAGACGCAATAGTGCGCCCTTCATTGGACCCCAAGTACTGGCATTCCTCGAGAAAGTCAGGATTACCGTGAATGATCTCATCAGGCTGCCGAAATTTGAGCCCGCAACACCAGAGCTACGCGAGCAACGAAGGCGAGAGAAGATACTGAAGGCGCGGCGCCGCAAGGAAGAGTATATGCCCAATTTCTGGGTGATTGCCGATCCGCAGAGAAAGCGTCATCGAGCACCGATAACGTTTCAAGATCCATCCCGAGCCCCGAACCGAAGGTCGAACTCTCCTAGCCGCCACCGTAGGTCGCACAGCCGCCATTCATCCGCAAACTCGCATCACACGCATGGGCATCGTCGGGACGACTCTACTCGTCGAGGAGGCATGTGAAGGAGATATAGAATAGTTAGGAGAAATAAAAGAATTTGTTAGAGTTGCGTAGGTTTGTGTTGTTAACGATTATTGTTTTATTGTAGATCATGTTGTACTTTGTACCCGCGCGGCTATAAAAGGCCGCCGGCTAGGTTGTTATTGTTCTTATTGTTATTGTTCTGTCCCGGCCTTGTCCGGATAAAGTTTTTTCATTTCTATTTCTGCTCCACGCCAGACGCCCTCCGCATCAGCATTCCCAGCTGATGCGCTACATATATTTATTTACAAGAATTAACAAGTTATTTGCACATTTTTATGACTTCTGACTTTTTCGAAGCTCCTCTCGAATGATTGTGGGTGAGGTCATTGCTGATTGCCCTTACTCAATCAGAAAGAGACCTCAAAGATGTTTAAAAAATTATGGCGCTCCATCTTTTGAATCACCTTACTAATAACTGCGATTTTGTTGCGATAAGAATGGTTTTTTCTGATTATGGATCTACCCTATTGCTGGATCGTGTATGGATCTGCATCAAAGTGTAACCTCAATTTGGCCTTTCTGTTGATATGGGATTTCTAAAGTTTACATTGAAAAGCAGATTGGTTCAAACCGTGATCACAAAAACACGAGAAACATCACGTTGATGCACTCTTACGCCCAGTGTGAAGAACAGCCTTTCACATTTTCAAAGCTGTCACCACCAAAGCTGTGACGGGCTGAGTTTGTCCCAATGCATTTCTAAATGCAATCAGCGTGGTTATTTCAAGTTTTTGAAGAACACCAGACGTAGAATCTGCGAGAACGTGCTCAGGGAAACTTCGTCACCAAGCTACAACAAGCTTTAACTTAGCTGAAGAAATAAGTTGTTGGTATCAGAGTTATCTGAAAGGACAAAAACATTGAAAAAGTAATCGGTGGCTTCCGCAAAGCACTGTAAAGGCTCGTTCGCATTCAATTCTTCGGCTGTGAGGCAGAGTGCGTTCGGTGTATGGCCGCAGAGGGTATTGAGTACGCCAAATCCTTTATCCTTTTATCATCTTACCAGCATCCTTAATTGCAACATAAATAATCTTCTATTAAAGTGAACAGCAAAAAATGGGACAGCTTGATTTCTATTACATTTTGTGAACTTTTGTTTTGTTTAACAGCAAGCAGGCTGCACCTTAAACGTCGCCTACATAAGGTGCAGTTTGCTATTATTTTGGTAACGCCCATTATTTCAGTAACGCGTTAAAGCTCCTCTCCCACAACCCCATGAGTGACGCAGTCAAGAACTCGAACAGGGTTTTTTGAAAATCTTTAAAATATCACGCTGTATATCGTAGAGTCATAAAGCAAGTGGCATACCATACAGAAGAGCTCTTCATGCTCTTTCGAATGGTATATTAAGTATATAAAATCCTTTTCGTTTCCCGATAAAAAAAGCAGAAAACTTAGAAAAGGCTATTTGGCGTAACAAGGAACAAAACAATCATGTTTCTATCTATATTTTTCAAATACATATGAAAGTTGATTTAATCTGCACAGGGAAAGATAGCACGTAAGGAGCTTCATTAGATAATAGCCAAAAACCGTTGCGAAAGGACCAGTTAGTCGCGAAAGGCGGCTCAAACTGGCGGCTTTCGTTCCCCTACCCATTACAGCAGGGTACTTTGAATGGTCTCACATATTAGAATAATAAAACATTAAATATGAAAATGGTCTCACATATTGCATGCAGATACTGCATGAAGTTTATAGATTGGCAAAGTATTAACCTCGCACAGCAAATGTAAAAATTATTAGGGATGTAAATGAACTACATAGGTATTGCCTGATAGAGAATTATACGTAATTCTAATATCTATCAAAAATGGAGGCTTACTCACTTTCTTTTTCAAAATTTACAGTTAATCTCTAGATGTCCCATTTTTTAACGTTCAAACTGATACTATGTGCAACAAACCATGTTGCTGTGTATGGCGTGATGATTTGGCTTGCAGCGCAGAATCAAATAGAATACAGAGCAATCCTACTCTGCAGACTGATTCTTTGTCAATTCTTATCAATGTTAAAAAATTATATTGCTGATGAACTGTCTTGCGCCGACAGCTCGAGCGATATGTGCGTGTTGGTTTATAGCTAATGGCGGTATAAATTGAGTAGATGATAAAAATTTGTCATTTTTCGATTTATTAGGACTCTACGAACTTGTAGAACGCCTTTATACATAAAATTTTGTCTCATCAGTAGAAAAGGAGATTTGATTTAGCTGTCACACCTTTATTTACGACAAATAAAAACGAGTAATTCCAGGTGTTGAAAAGAAATGCAAGGATTACAAAAAAAAATAACAAATATCGAATAATGAGCTTTACATGATAGCACCACTTTGAACAAACAATTACATGTAAAGAAACAAATAAAACGTTGAAGTCAATCTTAAGAGACTTTTTTCTGTCCGCTCTCAGGGCTTCCTCTCACTTAGAGTAAAATTAAACTGATGTTTTTCCATCACAAAGGTCAGGCTTGAAAAGACACTATGACGATTAGGAGAGTGTGGATGAAGGCCAGGAGAGTATCAAGAAGACTTGTTTTCGAGATAATGAAATGAGAACAAGCTGGACCAAAAAGCGGACGTCTTTTCAAAGAGGAGCTGCGCAGCAGCGATGCATTTGCTAATTCAACCCACTCTCACATTTTTCCTCTAAATTTTTCAACTCCTCCAGAGTTAAGTTTAGTGTGGCATGGCACATTTCAGGGTGGGAGGGGGGAGCGAAGGTATGAGGGGTCGAAGATGAAGGAGAATGGTGATCGACGTGGTACTGATAGTAGTGATATTTGATATGTGTTATCAAAGTGAAATATGCTCACTATGCAAAATAGAAGCAGACTGGGTATTGATCTATCATCGTATACCTACAATAGGCATACTGAAGAACTCTGCTTGCAAGAGAATAGTCAGAAATCGAAGTAATCAACTCAAGCAATCTGCACATCATTTGCAGCATATAATGCTGGCTCTAAATCTGTCTTCGTTATCTGCAAAAAGCTTTGGTGGATGAAGTTGTAAGCCGTTGGAAGCCATTATTTTGCTAGGAATCGTGCGTGTAAAAGGCTAACTTGGTTGTATAGAGCCACTAGCTGATAACCCGGTCTCGCCCGAAACTTTTACTTCAACCAAGATGGGGTAGAGGAACGAAATCCGCCAGTTTGAAACATCTTCGCGGACTACTGGTCCTGCATCCACAAACAACAATATTTCAAAAGGACCAGTTGCCAGCAAAGGCGGGCTCAAACTGGAGGAGTTCGTTCCCTACCCACCAAAATGTCATGGGCTCCCAGATTCGTGTAGAGGAGGGTTGCGCACTTCCTTGATTTTCAGAACAAACTTGTTAAACCTCCACGTTTTAGCACTGTATTTCGTACTTTCTCCTTGAGCTTTCCTTAAAACCAGTAAAGTCCGCACCCGCCTCCACACGACTCTGGAAGCTGATCATACTTACACTTTCTGACTTTACAATGCGCAAAAAGCGCTTTGTGATGAACCCGCTGCATCTTGTCGACCTTGAGATCAGAATGAACTTTACTACCCCTACTTACATGTTTATTGGAAAATGATTGGTTGGAGCACGTCTAGCTTTCATTTTCCCAGATTCAAGTAAACAAATCAATAAATCAATAGAAGGACCCTGCGGATCGCCTCAAAAAGTAGCCATAAACCACCGCCGGGGCCGAAAACATGTGTGCGAAGTTTCAGCTCAATCGGTTCAATGGCTGGCGTTTCTAAAACGAACGAACAACTAAACGAACATCCTCACAGACATTGAGTTTTATATATATATATATATAGATTGTGGCCTCAAGCTGGACCAAGACATGCAACTAGATCACTTCATATGGTCCAGGTGAGCTAAAAGGGCAATAATATGCTTAGTTGTGCAGTTTGTGTGTACAATTTTTCGCAGTAAAGCTGTTCATAACTTCACCTACAAAGACGTTCTGCAGATATGAAAGACAGATTTGAAATCCGCGTTCTATGCTGCGTCGAGAAGTATGCAACTTGTTTGGATTGACCACTTCGACTTCTGACCATTCTCTTGTTAGCATAAGAAGTAATCACGAGTATGAGTATCAGTATCATAACAATATCAGTACCAGTAATTAGCACGTCAATTAACCTCTTGGATCAAGTTTTAGCGAGTTTTGAAGTTCCCATTTAATGAGGAAAATTGAGGAGGGAGGGATAGTCATTTCCGAACAACTCAACTTAATTTTGAAAGTGAGCTAGCTACCTCGTCTTGCACTCAATGCAAAGCGCAGTTCCTTTTTTTGCCCAAATGAAAGTTCTTACTTGAGATGACTGTCAAATTTTGCAATTAGGAGTCAAAATCTTGTTGGCTGTCACATTTTCCCTTTCGATGATCGTGTTCTGCAACTGTCGAATAGGCTCAATCAATCCTGTAAAGACAGAGATTTGAGCTATCGAATATATAAAAGTTAGCCACTTTCCCCTTTACATACTAATGCATAATTGTCATACTACTGTAACCAAAGCTCTTTGCCACGAGCATAAAATCGGAAAAACAACTATATCTTCTTCCAGGGTAAACAGGATGGAACTATTTGTGTGACGAGAAGAAGTTTTAGTTGTTTTGAAGATTTCAAAAAAAAACCCTCTGTGTGTGAATGATAAGTCGTCAAAGGGGTGTGGCACAACCTCAAAAATAGTGTGGCAGTCAGACCTTTTTTGTGGTTGTGCCGTACCTATTGACTTATTTTTGAAGTGACTTTTGGCGAATAATGTATACGACAGCCTAAATCTCGTACTTTTCATAACAGTAACTTGAACCTGATTTGTTGACTGTACTCTGAATATCAGTTGCTGTAACCACAACCATCGGGATGGGAAACGAGACAGCGAGATTTTGGCTGGCTCCTATAGCAGACAAGACAACAGGTCTGCATCAGCGAATATTCGCTCTATGCCCTATGTAGCCAGTGATTATCCAAGTGACATTCACTCAAGCTTGCTTTTGTTGGAAGAAGAACTGGCCGTACTGATGTTGTAATAGTCCTGATATATTCGCTTGAGGATGGATCCTAGAAAGGTATCTTTATTTATTTACTTTAAACTTTGAATTTCACCACATTAACTGACCGTGTGTCTGTAGAAGGCAAAGTATTTCGTAATCCGATTTTTTGAGCATTGCGCATCCGACCTCCAACTTCTTCTTCTTGTTCCTGTTAGAATTCACGGCCCAATCTTTCAACTGCAAGAAGTCCAATGTGCAAGTCACGTGCTTTTATAGTAAGTTTCAATTCAGTTTAGGCGGAAATTGGACTGGCAAAAGTCCGCTTCGCACGATTCGGGCTGCTTTGCAGTCTGCGTCTCATTTTAAACCATCTCGCTGAGCCAGTAGCGGTGCGGACGCGCTGCTCCATATAGAATGTTTCGCCTACTCCGGGTTGAAAAAGACTGTGGTTGAACCTCATCTAGGCGCAATATGCGAAAACAGTTTGGTTTACTCAAACACGGAGAGCATAAGTGAATAACATAAAGACAGTAATGCAGTATGCATGTAGTCAAGATATTTTGTGCGTTTGGACTAATTATGTTCCCAAACAGTAGAAAGTGAACAGCATGGTTCAAAATTTTCCATGAGGAAAAGAGCAGACATTTATCATCACCCACCTTACTCATCCATTCGTCCCATTTCAAGAAAGAGTAGGAGGAGCCCCTTAAAAATTATTTAAGGACTATGCATTTGTGAGAATTAATTATGGTAGGACATACATTTTTCCGTGCAGAATGACGAGATCAAGAAACACCCCTTCCTTGAAATACTCTGGTTTTAAACTCATTTGCTTGATTATGCGGGCTCTTCCATCAAGTATACAATCATACTTCTAGAAATGCTTGAAGTTTGCAGCAGATTCATAGCTTTGATTTTTATCTTGAGGAACAAAAAGAGATGACACACAACGAATGAACTAACCAGACTAAACTCATATTCCAGATTTGTTCGAAAATAGTCAAGATACATTTCTTTCACTTTCTTCTCTTGTACATTTGCACCGCATGGGAATTTCCAGATCGAAGGAGAGCTCTCGCATGATAGAAGAAACGACAGCTAAAAATATCGATACTTTTTTAAAGAATGACAATTAGGGATGATCACTCACAGTAAGAAATAGGCTTATTCGCACCATCACTATAAATGCTTCTATTTTTGAAAAGCCTTTTATATCACTAGTCTAGAGTACGTGCAGAATAACGTTTATCTGACAATACAGCCACATGGAAGCTGACCTATGACGCCTCTGAGCAGTTGAGATAAACTCTGATACCGAATCTGTCAATGATCAGAGATATTTCAAAGCGGAAGGGCACAGGAAAGTGCCCTTCCGCCCACACACAATAAAACGAAATGCACTTGCCACTTTTAGCTCTTCCCACCGGATCGTCCCATTGTAAAAATACAGATTTTATGAATATTTATAATACATATAGTAGAAGTACTTCTGTGCCAAACAGGTTTGTTGAGTGTTTCTTTATTTCCAATCACGGCCTAACGTTTCGACGCCTTTCGTCTTCCCCAGAGGCCTGAAAATGGCTCAAAGTGTTACCCGAGAAACGAGGCCATCAAGTACCATCTCCATTCCTGCCAGTTTTCAACCTTCGTTCAACATTCCTACCGCAAAATTTGCTATGCCAAAAGATGAACATACCCTGTGAACACCGCTATTTGGGGTTCCGCACCGGAAATGATGGTCTTGGCGGATAGAATGGACTATACCATAAAAGCACATAAGTGATCTACAGTCTGCATAGAGATATGAAGGGTAGGAAGCCCGTGGTAATTGACAAACACTCATTTTTATTGTTCATTGCTGGATTCTTCGCAGAAATCCAGAATGCTTCTAACGCCTTCCTCGCCGAGGTTTCCTTTTCATGTGCCAAGATTTGGCATTTGATATCGAAATCGTCTCCACCATGCGAATCGCAAACATAGCCACGATTCGCATGGTGGAGACGATTTCGATATCAAATGCCAAATCTTGGCACATGAAAAGGAAACCTCGGCAGGAAGGCGTTAGAAGCATTTTGGATTTCTGTGAAGAATCCAGCAATGAACAATAAAAATGAGTGTTTGTCAATAACCACGGACTTCCTACCCTTCATATCTCTATGCAGACTGTAGATCACTTATGTGCTTTTATGGTATAGTCCATTCTATCCGCCAAGACCATCATTTCCGGTGCGGAACCCCAAATAGCGGTGTTCACAGGGTATGTTCATCTTTTGGCATAGCAAATTTTGCGGTAGGAATGTTGAACGAAGGTTGAGAACTGGCAGGAATGGAGATGGTACTTGATGGCCTCGTTTCTCGGGTAACACTTTGAGCCATTTTCAGGCCTCTGAGGAAGACGAAAGGCGTCGAAACGTTAAGCCGTGATTGGAAATAAAGGAACACCTAACAAACCTGTTTGGCACAGAAGTACTTCTACTTTACGAATTATGCTTATTTTTAAAGAAAGCGAAACTTTCAGATTATTTATAATACATTTGTATAGTTACAACTATATAGCTATCGCCGATTCGTTGATCGCGCGGACTGCTCAAGCGCTGCGTGCGGACCGCCTGCCCCCGGCGATTATCTGAGTAGCGGGGCAAGCGTTTTACCTCGTGTGCTGTGTTTTACCGCGTGTGCTCCGCAGTGAATTTCAGTCGGTCAACAAATCGACGATAGTTTTTCTTCTAAAATAAGTTACGTGAAGATCGCATAGGACATCTAGACCTGTAGTAAACCCCCCGTATGTGCTGACGTATAGCTCGGAGTCTGCTGTGACATGTGCTGACTACCATGGAGCGAGGCAGGCAAGGCGGCTATCCTTTATCATTGCCGGCGGTCGCAATCAATGCGAAGCGCCAGGGTAGTCCCATTTTGTCGCTATATGTCGCGACATATCGCGACATATAGCGACATATTGCGACATGTCGTGACGGACGAGACGGCGAAATACTTTGTCCATCATGGAGACGCAGAGACATAGCGCAAGACTAGAGCTCGACTACGCCAACCTCGCAATAGGTCGCACATGCACACGGTTCTCTGTAACGCACGTCAATTGCAATCAATATCAACAGCTGATAAGCGCCCAACAGCGCCGAGCAATGTGCCTTCCTACATTTTCGAAATATTTCCTAAGCTGCACGCTCTGGTGTTCAAAAAAGGTGAGTTTCTTTTGACTAAAAGATGTATTAGATTCATATTTGGTCACATTTTATAATGGTTGCTGTTGTTCTTATTTATTCTCACGATGCATCTCATTTGCGCACCAAATATCCTGCTTATGCCAAAACTCCTCAATGTTTTCCATCTCAGCACTTTCTTCACTTGCTGGTTTGCCATTCCTTAGCTGTGAGCCTCTTGTTTCCCTTCTGTGCTTAAGTGAAGGGACCATCTGGCACTATGGCTGCTGGAATAGCTCATATTTGCCCAGACTAAAGTGATAATTGTTTTATATACTGCTTTTTCCTGTGCATTCTCGATTTGATGTGTTTTGCATACAATTTTCTTTTTACTGCCAGAAAATTTTCAAATTTAGGCTCAAAAATATGAAAATTGGAAGATCCACCACTTGCAAAAAGTTGCTCGAGGCAGGACTTGTACCCCGACATCAACCACACTGACATCCGACACTGACGCTGCGCTATCTGCACTGCTAATCAAAATTGGCTTGCGTGTGCAATATCACGGTAGTTGTGCAGGCGGTTACTACTTCTACAATACTAATATCCACTAGGCACACTGTGTGGAGTATTACACGCCGTTTCGGTCATAATAAGTTACCTACGCTGCTCTGCCTGCTCCAGGCCCTTCCCATTCTGGTACAACTTCAAAATTAACTATCCATAGCGCAGTTGCTGTGGGCGCTGCTGTTGCGATTATCACTGGTTCGATCACGCGTTTATGCATTAGTTTTGCGGCGCCCTGCGGATAGCTCGCTATAGTCTTGCGAGATACTCCGAGCTATCACGACATAGTCCCTTTATGTTGTGACAACCAGGTGGGGTTTACTACGGGCCCTTATCTTTAGAAGACGAGCTCATTTCGATTATGCGAACTGCGAAGCTTGCACAAAGTTATCTGTAACTTCGGGAAAGATGAAGAATTACAGTGATATCCATTTCGTGCGGTCAACGATCGACTATACCATCATATAGTCTGCGTAATGTCAGCAAGTCACAACAGCCACCACTCAGACAATCGCCGGGGGCAGGCGGGGACCGGAAAAATAGATTGCTGATCTCTCGCACCCCGCTCGCGGATTTTTTGGAAAGCAATCAGGACTTTTCGGTAGACCGCTCGCTGAGTTCTCGATTCCTCAGAGATTCAGCAATATATCTGCAAAAGATAAGAGCGAAAAAAATTCAACAGGCGGTCTCTCAAAAATCCGCTGACTCAGCAAGCGGTCTTCCGAAAAGTCCTGATTGCTTTGCAAAAAATCCGCGAGCGGGGTGCGAGAAATCAGCAATCTATCTTTCCGGTGCCCGCCTGCCCCCAGCGATTGTCTGAGCAGTGGCATTTGACGTATCAAAATTGCTCAAAGTCAACCCTACAAATACAGTGTAACTTATTTGTAAAGCGAAATAAAAATTTCTCGAGATAACTTCAACTTCAACTTCGCACTGCTTGTACCTCCGACTCATTTGGTAAAAATTGCAAATACTAGGCTGTTGCATAAGTTCTGTCCGATTTTTTTGCCTCATGTTTGAAGCAGCTGTTCTAAGAGAATTTCATCTCTAATTCGATACGGTTGGTATCATTGAAAAGTGCTTTTCTTGCGCTTTTGAAAGCACATCAAATTTCAACAAATTTCTTAGTGTAATGAGATTTCAAGCCTAAAATCTCCAAGTGGTCGAGGTACGTTCTCACGCTAGAAATATGTTCTTGCAAGAAAACCTCCACAATGCGCCCTTCAGGTCAAGTTCTTTTATTGGGTTCGGAATAAGGGTGTAGCAGGCTAATGTATGCACAAGCTCGATTGCATGGAGAAAACGTCTTACTAGTAAAATTTGCTGTCGAATATCAATTTTTTGTACAAAGGTTCTACAAGCAATAACTCCCTGCGAATAAACGCAATCGATCAGCTCAAAGTTGGAGGTGCTAGGGTAAAGCAAGAGCTATCAGGGCTCGTCCACCAATTCCTATTCGGCGCTTACGCCAATTGTAAAATTTTCATAATTCGTAAATAGGCATGCACACATGTGCTGAAGCGAGGTCAAAAAGTGGCTTCTTTCTTGCTCGGTCAAAAAAATCTCTCGGAAACGCAAACCTTATGGGCTCTTTTATGTTGCATAATAATCTACGTAAATTTCTCTATCTATCCATTATCGGATAAGGTGTTTATCCATTTTCATAAGGGAGCGTTGCCATGTCAAAAAAGACAGGTTTGAAGAAAAATGCTGTGAAGTTTTTGCATGCTTGCTTCTTCCTTAAAAAGGATTTTCGCAGGTTTCAATATGCATCTGATAGCTAAGGAATTGCTCAACACAAGGAAACTAAGATCTTGGAAAAAAGTTGATTCTGAAAGAAGTTATGACATTTTAAACTCAAAAATTCAAATCGGACAGAACTTATGCAACAGCCTAGTACAACACTGACTGTTATAAGTAAGTTAGAAAGAAAATCTCATAATACTTTCATCAATAAATTTTCGAATCAAATCATTACGTAGCCTTTTTTGCTATTCGTGCGTATGTGTATCTTATATATAAAGCTGAATGTCTGTTTGTCTGTATGTCTGTATGTCTGTATGTCTGTCTGTATGTCTGTCTGTATGTGTGTACGTATATTCCGAATAGAAAATTCCATTTCTGAACCGATCCGGACAAACTTGGCACACATACACTTCGGGCCCCTGCGGGTGTCACAGGCTACTTTTCGTCATCGATCGATATCGATTTTATCGATTTTTTGCAAAATTTGAGCTACGGGGTTGGGAGTTGGCACAGGGGGATAATCGAGCATGCTGATTACGAATATAATAATGACAGGGCCGGGCGGAGCCGGGTAACTAGTTCATTAATAAACATCAATATTATTAGGTTGTCCAGAAATTAATGCAGGTTTTGAATTCCAACCGCAATAAGTCATACACTTCTCATTTCTAAGTAGGATGCAAAGCACCGTTTCATACTACAAACCTGTAGAAGTTCTAACGTAAGTTTCCAGCTCTCTCCAAGCTTTAGTTCTTAAGAAATTTGGATTTTAGCTTGGACCACATGACTGGGGAGAACTCTATTCGATATTTCTTAAGAACTAAAGCGTATAGAGAGCTGGAAATTTATGTTTGTAATTCTACAGGTTTGTAGTATGCAACTACTTACATGGGAGCGGCACAGCGGCACTTTGACAAATGCACGAAAATTTCCGTTTTCTTGATTTCTAACAGAGAAAAAATACGGCAATGGCGTGTATAGATGCCCTATGTGGATTGAGTTTACGTGAGCAAGTTAGAATTTTTGTAGGATTTTTATGAACTGAGTTACGATTTTTCTCAATTTTTCGGGCCGTTGAATCTTCTTAGTTTTTGGCTCGAAACCGTGGTGGATCAGAGCTGTTGCTAAAGCAAGACAGCCATTTTGTAGAGCTTGCTTTGCTCTATCGAGCAATACTTTGCAACCTATTTAAGAATGAGAAATGTATGACTTATTGCATTTGGAATTCAGAACCTGCATTAATTTCCGGACAACCTAATGCATGCGCTCTTACTTTTTAAAAACAATGGTAGGGAAGGTTTAGCGCCTCAAACTGGGCAAACGAACCTCTTTGCAAACCTATAGTCATGTCAACGTATAGTAGATACTATACTTTGGCACACTAAAGGTCAAAGGTACTGATCACGTGTATTCTATGAGGTAAAAACACATGTTCTTGACATTGGAGCAGAATCAAGTTAAATGCCACAAACCCATAAGCACTTGACTCGCGGGCACATATGTATATGATGCTGCGAAACAATTCTGCTTGGTATCTCCGATAATAAATCTCCAACAGCCGCCATTCCAGGCAGTATAAATGGATTTAGTATGCATGGCTAAACTGCTGCAAATGAACGAAAGTGGTAGTAACTATTTTTACGAGCGCTGGTATACACTTTATCTTATATGTGATGCTGAATGTCTGTCTGTATGTCTGTACGTATGTTGCGAATAGAAACTTCTCCATTTCTCAACCGATCCGAACCAAACTTAGCACACATACACTTCGGGGCGGGCGTCGCAGGCTGCTTTTCGTTATCCATCGATACCGATTTTATCGATTTTTAACGATTTTTTGAGAAGTTTGATCTGCTGGGCTGGGGGTTGGCACAGGGGGGGGGGAGGGTAATCGAGCATGCTGATTACTAATACAGCGAGAATAGGGAATCGGCATGTATAAGTGGGCACAAGGAAAGGTTGTAAAGGAACAGGGATGGGGCTCTTATCATAGTGTTTTGAAAGGGCCGGGCGGAGCCGGATAAGCCAGCTAGTAACCTATGTGCACAAGTTTAAAGGCAGTGGGTCGGCAGAATGAGACCCGTGGCAAAACAAGGTCACAGGGTAGGAGCCCCATAATGGAACCTATGGGCCAAAGTTCGATCTTTCTCTGCCACTGCTAACCCCCGAAATTTCAGAGCGAAAGCAGGGCTCATCTCCTGTCCTCTCCGAACCCGCCCACCTCATGGACGAGTGACTTCCGCGGTCAGAGCGCCAGCCGCAATATTATAAGCATGAGGTCCCGCAACGACTCTGCGTCTTCGCCATGACGGGCTTCGCGTTACTCGTCCATGGGGTGGGCGGGTTCGGAGAGAACAGGAGATGAGCGATGCTTTCGCTTTGAAATTTCGAGGGTTAGAAGTGGCAGAGAAAGATCGAACTTTGGCCCATAGGTTTCATTGTGGGGGCTCCTACCCTGTGACCTTGTTTTGCCACGGGTTTCATTCTGCCGACCTACTGCCTTTAAGAGGTAATCAGTTCAATTTGTTGAGTCGACAGAGAGTCCATTGCTTTGAAAATTTTTAACTTATATAGATTTATTCTAATCCTTAGTTTAAAAACAATGTAAAGTCAGAAAACTAGTCTGGTTTATCTACAGTTTTTTTTGTTATCACAAGATGCTGGAGCAAACACCTGCGATTGAAGGATTTTCAAATTTGTTATGCTACAGAAAATCATGGCCCCAATAGTAACGAATGATTAGAAGATTTAGAATTTCAATTCTGTGGTAGAGCCTATAGGCATGACCCATTTCTTTGTATGGGGATTTACTAAATAATGGCAATGCTTCGCCAATATTCTGACGATGATTTGGAGCTTCAGGAAAAAACTAATGTTACTACTGATTCTCATTTTTTGGTGTGGCTCTGAGGTAATTAAAGCACTGATTTATTTACTTGACTTTCTGTCTGTCCGAACAGTCAGCTCAGAAATTGTGACATCAAACTAATTAATCTGCAGCTACTTCTTTTGCGGGAGTTGCGACTTCTTCCTGCAATAAGTATTCAGTCATTCTGAAAGATCTACCGCGGTTACAAGAAATGCTGCTCACATGTGCTCGTTCAATTGGCTCAGTTGATGCACCTGCGTCGCCATTAGCGACACTTTCTGGAAGCTGCAAAGGAATAGGAGCAATGGGTGGTTTTGCCGCATCACCTTCGACAGGAAACTGTTCCACATACTTCTTAGGTTGACTTTCAAGGTTTCTACTGTAAAAGGAAAGTGATTTCATCCTGAGTCTCTATCGAGATTACGAGTTTTCATCGAGAATACCGGAGTTGCTCAAGCTCTTCGTTCTCTTTGCGGCCCCACTCGTTCGGAGGACGGGCTGTCCCATGTGCAATCGCAGGCGGTTTCGGTACTTCAGGTCTCTCGAACATTAGACGACGATCTCCATAAGATCTATAAAAATTTGCTCTTTCAATTGTGTAAGCACATAAGACCCTACGTTCACCTTCTATCCGTCTGACGCTCAAACTTTGAAGCAGTGTGAATTTTCGGTGGGTGCTTGGATGAGGCAGCCTCATCTGGGTTGAGTCCCTTTTGTAAAGCTTTGTTGCGAGCCACGTGCCGTTGCTTCTCAAGCAATTCCTTCTTCTGGAAAGTTCAAGAATTACAATAAAAAGTTACGTTATTCGCAGAACTCGCTTACATCATATTGCTGCCTTTCGTAACGGTTTTCCAAATCGTACTTCTCGCTTTCCAATTTGACGATGCGAGCATGGAGACCTTTGATTTGCACTCTTAAGTCTGCTGGGGAAAATTTTGAGACGTCGACAGGACGACCTACAGACTCCAAGAACAAGCGTTTTGCTTCCTCTTGTTGCTCTTTTTTGATAGCATCTTTCTTGGCCTAAGGTGTAGCACATTTTGTTGAAGGAAACTTAGCAAACTCAGTCGTTTTCACACCTGTGACAAACCACCGAACTGTACAACTTGTTCCTTCTTTGTAATAACAAAATTTTTCTCATTCGACTGCCCTGGCTTCCCACCAAAAGATCCTGCCATCATTTGCTGACGGCGCAAGCGTTCCTCATTTTTGCGAGCTTTTTCTTCTTCAAAGCGTACCTTGCGTTCTTCCTGTAAGATTCAGTAATGCAAAATCGGGCATGATATGCTCGAATTTTTGGTAAGGTTATACCTCTTCTTGCCTCCTGCGTTCTTCGTCTTGACGACAGCGTTCAGCATACTGTCTCTCGTCGTCTTCGCGCTCACGACGTCTCTTCTCTTGTTTTTCTTTCAATTCACGCAGTTCCTCTTCAATTTTCTCCCGCTCGAGTCGACGACGTTCTTCGTACTCGAGCATTCTTATGGCTTCCTCTTCATCATGGCGTTTCCTGGCAGCCTGGAACAGACAAGGGAACCAAAATAAAATCGCTGTTTTTCACATATCTACAAGAATGACAGCTTCTGCCTCCGTCATTTCAGCGGGAGCATCCTCTTCTGGTTGCGCTGCATGGCTTCTTGGTCTGTAAAAGTCAGTCAAGTTGTCAAACATTGTCAAGTACTCAATCCACTTCTCTTCCTGATCAGAACGCTCAATAAAGCTAGAAAAATCTCTAAAACGATGCCGGTTAGGTTAACACTCACTGCTCTTTCTCGGTTGTTCCATCATCCTCACCATCTTCATCGGCGCTCTTTTCCTCGTCTTCCTCCTCCTCGTAGCTTAAAGTGTGTTAGAAAACTAATATGAAAGTTGAGTCAAGTGATATAGGAAACTCGGATAAAATGAGAAAAACGCTTACACTTCTTCGTCTGCCATGATTGGAGATCTGAAAAATATACTCTTACCTCAAAATCCTGGGTTACGCACAAGCAATTAATTAGTAAAACGTCGTCTCTGATTGCATTGTGAGTGTGAAGATGATGCTTTCTGATTATCTATTTATTTATGCTATACATGCAAAACACAAAAAGCTATAGCAAACGCGAAATCAGTTCAATATACAGATGTTAGGATGGCCCCAGGGCCAATCCGCCATGAGAAACAGTGAACATGAGCACTGCTTTCAACTGTTCTGTCCATGGAAAAGGAGGGGTATGCAAGATGTAAAAGCAATGTAAAATGAAGTAACCTAAGCAGTAAAAATAAGTGCTTGCACCAGAGCTGCTTGAGGAGAGCACTAATGGATTTTTTGTAGGAACTTCGAAGGAATCCTGGGTTCAATGTCACATGGTTCATGATTTCTTTTCATGTTGTTGCATAGCTGAATATCTTCGAAATTTTGAACAGTTCTGAACGATAAATGTAATTCCTTAGATTCACATTCAAAATGATAAACCAAACTGCTCTGCATGTTTACATTGGGTATATTGAGTTGTCCCGATACTGACTTCGTTTTTCAAAGAATCGCAGATGAAAGATTTCCGAAAGATCTTGGTTGCATTCATACCAGTTTTCATCTTCTAAGAAAGACAGTAAGAGTGCACTATTTTGATGCAGTATCAAATTTGAATTACCTGAAAATTCAGAAAGACGTGCAAGATGGCACTGCAACAGTCTAGTTATTTCTACCTTTTTCTAATCCCATGAAACATAACATCGCAAATACTTACTTGCCTACTCGTTTACAAAGCCAATTATAAAGTTATAAGTTTCCTTTGTCTTAATCACATTATTATTCAAAAGCCCTCAGCAGTGTGCTTTCTACACTATTTTTGGAAGAAAATGTCAGCCATTAAAGAATCCAAACGATGCATTAAATTGAGTACTGCAACAGGGCTTTCAGCATCTAACAATAAGTCGTTTCAAGGTTCAATGCACGACTGCTTTGACAACCGAATCTCCTGGAAATAAATTTTTACTGCCCTTGTCTGGTAACTATGACCAAATAGGCGGTACAGGCTTTGGGAAGGTTTTGATCATTATTAGAGCTTGAAGTCGGTTAGATGCGACGACAATGAAGTGGTTTGCCTTCATACTGTTTCTTATTCAAGTTAGCTTTTAATTTCAAAACAGCTCTCACCGTACTCTTATATCGTTACGTACTCGTTTTTATTCCAGGCAGAAAGCGTTTTGTCTTGCGTTTTTGACAAAGTGGACGAAATCAGTGGTGAATGGTATGGTGAGGCTGGATCTGGTGACATAAATGATTGCTTTTCCGCATGTTACAATAAAACGGACTGTATTGCATTCGAGCTCGGTGAAGTTAGTTGAACCTTGAGTCACTTTAAATCTGGAAATTGGAACAGGAAAACCTATTAAGTAATCAAAGGCGGTTAAGTTCCAAAAAAATATTAGGTCGTTCCGAAAGTAATGTCGCTTTTTTCAAATGGACGCCACATCCCGTGGAACCAAGATTACCAAGAGATCTTGGAAGTAAGTGATGCAGCATTTCATCCTCTTTCTAGTGGTTATAATTCCATTGCAGAATGTTCAACGAGCTTTCGAAAAATACCAAAATTTACGACTCATGCATTTTGCTGTGGCCATCGGTTACATTTTTAATTTTTTGCATTGATTCCCCGAAGAAGTGTAAGTAGTGGGCAGATAGAGCAAACCCTATAGGATACGAAACAATTCTTCTTTTTTCCTTAGCTCGCCTCTTAGAATTTCTAAAACCAATTTTTTAATGCCATCAAATTCCATATTTGGTCAACCAAAACGCAGAACAATAACCGCCAAGCAACTTGGGTGTCATTCGACGCAGCTTTTTCTCTTCTTTCTACCAGTTGGTCTTGGTTTCCGATTCATAAAGTTTCCCGGAATAAATCATCATAATTCAGATTTTCCAAGGCGCCCCACGCTGTACCCGGAATTTTTGAAAGTTGCTAACCTGTAGCGGCAAATGCTCATTTTTTTGTAAAAATAGTGTCAAGCCATAGTACGCTTTTGTAAATTGAAAAATCCGAAGATTTATTGGTTTTTGATGCATTCGTGTCTGCGACGAGCGTGCTAAAATTCGGTGATTTCAGCAAAAAATCTATACAAAAATTATGACGAGCTACGGAAAGTAGAAAAAGATGGCGCTATTTTCTGTAGGGTTTCCTCTATCCATGCATCAATTGAACTCCCTCTGAGGGTTGTTAACAAATTTAGAAAATTTGTGAAACTTGAACTTCTCAGAAAGCATGGATCGCAGGTTTTGGTAATTTTGCAAAAGCTCATTGATTATTACCCAATGAAATGATAAGCATTAGAAAGAGAATAAAATGCTGTATCGAATGCTTTCAAGATCTCTTGGAAATCTTGGTTCTACGAGATGTGGCGTACTTCTGAATAAAGCGGCATTACTTTTGGAACGACCTAATATTAGGTTGTCCCGAAAGTTTTGTCCGTTTTTTCAACCTATCATAAAAACGCGTGGAATGAAGATAGGGGAAGCTCTAAGCACTATCCGACGCATCTTTTCCTTCTCTTTCTAAATGTCATGCTTCCATGCCGATTAATCTTTTATTTACTGAGATAAACGCCGAAATTTCGAACCCATGGTTTTACTATGTCCAAGTTTGGCAATTTTTCACAACCTTTATTTTTGACTTTCGGAGAAGCTTTGGCAACAGTCAGATAGAGCAAACAAAGGGCAATATAATGCAATTCTTGCGGCATCTATAGCCAGCCTTGAAAATTTTTCAGAATTATTTTCCTAATGCTATCAAATTCTACTTTTGGTGATGCCAAAAACCAGAGATCATGAAACGGCGCACAACTAGGGTGTTATTCGATGCAGCTTTTCCTCCTTTTTCCAGTAAGTCTATTTTCTCTCCAATTTGCGGGGTCTTTGGCAACAAAATTTTCATAATTCTTGAATTTCACCCCACCCCAGCGTGTACACGTAAAATGCAAAATCTTATATTTCGAAGCGGTAAACGCTCATTTGCTTCGTAAAAATAGTGAATAATCGTTATCGGTTCTTGAAAGCTTCAAAATCCGATGATTTGTCAGTGTTCGAGGCGTTTCTGTATTTTAACACTTCGTAAAAGTGAAGACTTTTGAAAAAATTATCTTTAAAAATATTGAAAAGCCAGCTAAATATGCCAAATAATTGCATTGCATTGCCCTTTGCTTACTCTCTCTGAAAGCTATCGAAGTTCTTCCAAAAGTTGAAAATGAAGATTGTGAAAAATTGTCGAACTTGGACATAGTAAAAACCATGGGTTCGAAATTTCGACGTTTATCTCAGCGAGCAAAAGAGTAATCGGCATATGGGCTTGACATTTAGAAAGAGGAGGAAAAGATGCGTCGGGCAATGCTTAGAGCGTTTTCCTGTCTTTGTTCCACGTATTTTTATGATAGGTTGAAAAAACGGACAAAACTTTCGGAACAACTTAATATTAGGTCGAACCGAATGTTCTTTTGCACCAAGAGAAAATTCATAACTTCTGAATTTGCCAACCGATTGGAACGCTTCCATTTTTGTATGAAAGAGTAGCTCATGCGCTTTATAATGACATCTTAGACGCTTGCTAATGATTTGCATAGATAGGAGCTGTAGAAGAAAATTAGTCAAAATTCGAATTTTCTATGTAGGGTCTTAAAAAATTGGAGACTTGCAACAAAAATCGGAGCAGCCAGTATTGTATCTTTCACCAGCTCTTTCTAACAGTGCAAAGTTTGCGCCGATTGAGCGTCTCTATGAAAAGTTACGATTTTCGAGCAAGCAATATGAAAGGGCGAATTTGATTTATTTTGGCATTTTTTTAGGGAAATCGTAACTTTTCGTAGAGACGCTCAAACAGCGCAAACTTTGCACTGTTGGAAGCCGGTGAAAGAACCTATAATACCGACTGCTCCGATTTTTGTTAAGTCTCCGATTTTCTATGACGCTTCCCAGAAAATTCGACTTTTGATTAATTTCCTTCTATCGCTCCTATCCGTGCAGCAGATGACCATTAGTAAGCCGCTAAGATGTCATTATAAAAAAGCATGACTTACTCTTCCATACAAAAATAAAAGCAGTCAAATCGTTTGGAAATATCGGAAATTATGAAGCTTTGAATTTGTGCGAAAGAACTTTCAGTTCAACCTAATATAACTTCTATTGCGCATCTATCATCTACCATCTACCATCTACCATTAACAACTGTGGTGAGACCAATTAAGCTAGTGTCCGTCGCTGGCTTTGTATTTCAATAGAAACATGTGGTGCCGAGAAATATTGTGTTGAACTTTGCTGCAGGACGGTATCTGTGAAATGTTTCGATCCGGGAGTGATAGACACCAGTGTAAAGTACCCTGCTACATCCTTCTTCGTGACGAAGTGGATCCCGTGTGCAAAACCTACGTGAACGTCTGAAAAGAAGACAAAGATGCAAACCATTCTTTGAAGCAATGTTCGTTTGTTAATTAAATGTTGACTTTGTGTTCATTTTTTAAACTTATCAAGAAGTTGAGCCACACACGAAGCATACACGTATGACCGTAGTGACATTTGGCCTGCGAAGCTACAGAAAAAATAATTTTTTGAGATGGGTAGAAGCGAAACTGTGAAGAAAGAAAGGTGGAGTGGAGGAATGAGTGAACAAGGAAGTTTACCTGCTATTTCGATGGACATGGATGCCTCGCAGTAGTGAACACTCATCTAGGTTTTATCGCTTCCTCCCTTTTTCCCTTGCAAGATAGAACCACTAAAGATATTAAAGCAAATCCATGACATAAAATGCTACAATTGTATTAGCCGCAAGCACAATCAGCGAAGAGACCTTCACTGAAAAATGTGAGATTTGAAACAATCAGACTAATGGTTTTAAAAAATCAGAAATAGAGTTCATCATTTTCTATCTTGCTTTGCGGCGATGATCTTCATCCTTGTTCTAAACGACTCGGAAGTGCAATTTTTTGTGGTTAAAAAGAGTTCTTTATCATAAAACCAAGTATCTGACGAAAATCAGTCCCTATAATGATTAAGCACCTGATCCAAGGAAACATTTTGGGGTGGAGCGGAGGCTCTGTTCCAAAATGCTGTTGCCCACTCTATGTTTTACTCTGATACATGTCTAAACTGATTTTTATGTCTCATATTGACACAGAAATCGCCTGTTTAGGACTGTTGAGCTGGGTTTTCTCTATTCCATTATCATAACAAGACGAGAAGCGGTATAGCGTTTATCCGGACCCATTTTTTCAAAAGCCTCTCATATTATATGTTTTATGGCCTAAGAATAATTTTTCATAGATTCTATAATGGCCACCTCCTTGCCACGTGTCACGAAAAATTGACATGATTTGGTTCATTTTGACATGTTTTTTTCGAAATCGTTTGAGGTGAGATAAATGAGAATTTGTGATCATTTTGAAGCTGTTCGACTGTTTTACAAAAGAGCAAAACAATCATGAACTTAAGTGAGAACATCTTGCTTGCTTTCAACAATGATCAAAAATGTCTTTCTCTTCAAACCCTTTTGACCATGCGAATTTAGCAAGAAAAGGCTATAAATGATAGCTTAAAGTACTTTGGTGCTGCTTATTTCACCTCTTGAATGTCGGAATCCTAGCCATTTTCTCTATTCCGAGCAAGCTAGAATCTTCATCGATAATAGTATATCGTCAGTATCGTCATTATTATGAAAATGTTCATTTTGAAACTGTTTGATCGAAATAAATCCAAAATTAACTAAAAAAACAGATTGAAGCTACATCGCTAGGTAGGGTAACACAAACTCTTGGTAAAACCTGTCAAACATGTAGATGACATGTCAAATTTTTTTGACACGTGGCAGAAGGTTGACACTGTTTCCTGTGAGGCTGGGATAAGATATGGTGCAAGGATTTTCTGTGAGGCTGGGATAAGATATGGTGCAAGGATACAAGCAATATTTTTCTTTGAAAAATTGGGTCCGGATAACGGAAAAGTACCCGAGAAGCTTATAATATATTGTCTACTAAACAGATACGATCGCATAGCGTATGTTTTTCATTAAAGAGCACTTTTAAAGGGCTTTGGAGGGTTATTACATATTGAAAATAATACAGTCAACTGCGAAGTCGAACTGTTAACTTTTCTGAGCTATTCATGTTCATGGTACTAGCAAGAACATAAGCATGATTAGTTCGAATCTAAAACATAAAAAACGCAAATTCATTACCACGAAGATATCCGATGATGCAAGCCTGGAGTGGCATTTAAGATTAAGGTTATATTGCCATATGTGGATCTCGAGTGCATAGAATACGTGGATGTTCGAAAAGAAAATAAATATGCAACCCATTCTTAAAGCACTGTATTTTTGTGAAGTAAACGTTAACCTTGCCTGTAATCATTCTTCCAAGCTTATCATGAAGATGAGCCGCACACAATGTACATGAAGAACAATGGTTTGCAAGATTGGAAAATGTACATTTATTTATTTATTTGAATACACACAAATGCGCCAAAAATTGATCATAAAAAACAACAATAACCAGTGAATGAATTTTCGATCACATCTCCTTGCTGGGCTGACCAGGTCGTTTATCCATTGAAGGTGGGGGGGGGGGGGGTCCGCCGAGATCCTTTTCCCATTTCCGGACGCGATTGGCTACTAATGCTTACAGGGGCACGGCTGACCAACTTAACCCAGGACGGACGAGTCCGTCAGGGATCCCGGGCGAACGAACAGGGGGGACCTCAAGGCAGGGAGCTCACCAAACTTTGGTATCCTCAAACGGCTTGCTGCGAAGTCAGAAAATAGAGTAGATGTAACCGCTAATCAAACAATCAAATGTAATCAAACATCGACAACCTTGATAGTTTGTAAAACGTCTATTTTCTTCAACTTTTTGCGAAATTCAGCAAAATTTGTACAAGAAATCAAATCTATTGGTAGAAGACTCAGCCACCGTGCCGTACGGCATACAAATGAATTAAAAGCGGTGGAGAGGATTTTAGTTCCTAATCTACGGTAAGTCATAGAAAAGCCTCTATTGCGATCTCCAGAAGGTCTAAAGACTCAGTATTTGCTCGGAGTTAATCTAGTCTCTAGACGGAGTGTGCGAAAGCCAAAAATAAGGTCATTGCACACCCGCCTGTATTTTAAGCTAAGTAGTCCCAAAACAGTCTGAGTCTGTAAGGAGGTAGACATTGAGGGTAGTCCGAGCTGGGAAGCATCTGTAAAAAACGACTCTGGTAAAGATTTCTGCACTTTTTCTAGCTTATCACTGTTCTTTTTCAAAAATAGGCTCCATACTGGGGATGCATAATCTAGGAGCGGCAAAACATAGGTTTTGTACAGTTTTGGCAGGAGCCTTGATTGTTGCAGTGAATGCTTCGAAAAATTAAGAATAAAACCGAGAGAGCCTTTCTAGAGACCGATTCCACATGGAAAGAAAATCTGAGTTGATCATCTACAAAAACACCCAAGTCTTTAGTAAGAGCACAAAGATCCAAATCGTTACCGTCATACTTGTAACAGTAGTAAGGGGAATTCCCCAAGTGCATTACTTTCGACTTCATCGCGTTGACAGAAAGACCCCATTCCCTTGACTATGCAGACATTCTTTGTATGGAAGCAGAGATTGCTTCAAGCGCCTCTACCGCTTCCTCTTCATCGTAACAGAAATATAATGTCATCAGCAAAAAATTGGATTTTCAAATTTGTATGTGTCTTTAGGATTAACGGTAATTCAGCGGTGTAGGTGAGAAAAAGTAAAGGTGAAAGTATGCCCCCTTGAGGCACTCCACTATTGCACGGGTATCTCCGCGAAAAACTGTTTCCTACTCGGACGGTCATGCTTCGGTCTTCCAGATAAGAATTGAACCGAGAGAGCATTTGGCCGCGTATTCCACAATTTTCGAGCTTTAGGATTAACTTACAGGGGAAGTCACTTAACTTAGGTCAGCCTCTTGAAATGAGACATACAGTTGCAGCGGTAGAATTTGTCCAAAATTGCGGGATCGTCGGGATTCGCGGGATTGTCGGGATCCGCGGGATTCGCGGGATTCGCGACTTCGCGGGATTTGCGGGATAAGCGGGATTTAGCTATAACTTCTTTTAAAACAGCTTTATTTGTAATCTGCGTGAAGATTTGGCTTCAGCTTGATGAGACGAATCTTCTGGTATACAATATGTCCGCAATTCATAGTGACACGGTAGACATATGGTGATACCTTGTTATTTTCTATGTTAAGGCTTTTGTGAACATCTATCACCGTGTAAATCGCGAATAGGAGGTTCTGGTACGAAGTTCCCATTATCGAAAACTATCGCGAAAAAATGGGCAGTTTTTATCTACCCTTATCACTGATACAAGCATTTTATCATTTATCACTGATAATATAATATTTTTGGATCATTTTTGGCACATGGTAAGAAAAGTAGTGTAGGAAACGCTGTGTGAATTTATATCGCTTTTTCTCTCATTATAAGTGATCTACAGGATTTCCTAGTTCTATCGTTCGGTCAATTGGTAGATCCCTCGCTGCAGCAATCGATCGATTTCTCATCGGCACATGCCATTGCTGCCAGTTCTTACCTGAAATGGCATTTTCGCTTCAACTCGCTTCACGCCGAAACCTGGGCTGAAATTCTGCACCTATATGGAAGATGAACGTGTGAATCGACCGCGTGAATTTAAACCATTCTTATCTGTCGTTATCATTGATATCACCATTTTATCATTTATCACTGATGATATCACAAAATTGGATCATTTTTGACATACAGTAAGGAATGTACTTTAGAAAACGCTGTGCGAGTTTTTACCGCTCTATCTCTTATAGAATGTGATCTACAGGCTTTTTCGGTTCAATTGCGCATTCGGTGCAGTAGATAGATGCTCTTTCAAAACATTCACCGCTCTATAAATTGTGAATGAACGGAGTCGCCAGTCGACAGGAGTTTCAAAGATGAGCTGAACACTTCTGTTTTCTGCGTATAACATACAAATCCAGATCTACAAAGGTGATCGATCTAAGATGCGAAACGGCGCAAACGCGTGCTCGAGCATCTTTCCATCAAAGTCCACACGCCCGCGAACGATGCGCGTACATAGGCTGTTGCCTCCCTGCCTCCCATCTGAATTCATGAGGACGTTTCGTAGACTCGTAACTCGGAGAGCTTTAAAGAATGGAGCCTAGGCATGCACCTTTTGATAGCACAGTTCCTAGTGATTTTGACTTAGAAAAGCAAGCAGGGAAGTTTTCTGACAAAATTCGCGAAAAGTGCAGGCAAATTCACGAACTTTCATGACTCAGTTACAGTCACCTCACAATATCTCTACAAAAAGACCCTGTCTTCTTCAAAGACCACTATTTTCGTAAACAGCGTGTTCGAAAACCTCTATGAGCGAAGTTTCCTTACAATTCAAGAGCATCAACAT